TAGAAACATGCTCTAATTTTAGTAATTTTTTGATTGAATACAAACTGAGTATGAGGCTCTTCATTAAATGGAGATTTGATTTTATTTTGTTTGAAGTTATCACAGCACGGACTCAAACATAGTCCATTAAAGGCAGCAAAACCCCACTGAACGCATGAGAGATGCTCCCCCGCCCTCGCCCAACTCCTTCTCCTCTCTGCGTCTATTTCTAACCCGAGCCTCTGAAGAGGAGCCCCGACATCTGTTGTCTGAAGGGTAACAAAGGAGTTGAGTTCTCATTGTCTATGTGACCTTCCTGTCGGATGAGGAGGGGAAGAGGAGCCTGTTTTGTGTGCGGATGATTGTCCGCGAAAGAGCACTTCACACTCATTTTGTCCCTGTGTGTTGACCCAGGCTGCAAAACACAATCGGGCTTCTTAGCAGGCGAGCTCGGGACAATGGGGTCCTTTAGTATCATGTTCTGTTTCAACAATTCGATTTATTTCTGGGAAGCATTGCAGGTTCTCATGCACATGATTTTGAAAAAAAATAAACACATAAAAACATAAAGCCCCCCATCAGTTTCACCGTGCCTTCCATTTGAAAGGGCGAAGGGGATGTTTGGAGACAGCAATTGCCGGTGTAGATGGCACTGAGCTTTCATGGGAACCATGGTTGTTTTGGTTTTGGTTCTGTATAATCCACACTTTTCCTGGTGCTTCCCTTCTGACAGTTGATTCAGAAACAAGTCTCTCAGCAACCCAGTCTCTTCTCGTTTGTACTTAGCCCCTTCCATATTGTCTAGTTTCTGCTTAAAACATGGAGCTCTGTACGTATGATGATCTTCCAAGTTGCCTTTTTTTAAAAAAAAAAAAAAGGCAATCTGTTAGGGCCTCCAAGTTATGGGTTTTCTGGAAGGTACAGAAAAATTTAATTCTCTTACTTGTATCTCCCTTACCAAGTTTTAGTGGTTGTTAAAATATTTTGTCATGTGGATTCACTGATATTTCTTAAACCCATTTCCTAAATTATGGTTCAGACATTTCCCACAGAACCTAAGTTTTGACTAAAAATCCAATTTTAATGGGTGTTATGTCTTTCAGGCCACTAGGACACCATTTAGAGCCTCGTGCCCTTCAAATATCTTAATCCCTTGGGGAGACAATGATCCCTTGAGCTCCATCAGCAGGAAGTGTAGTCCAACAACTGTGCTATGTCCTGGAGACTGAGTGGAGCTGGCAGTGAGCAAAACCCAGAGAGAGCTCATTGCTGCGCTCTCTGGGCTGCTGTTCGCTCCCTCCTTACTCTGTGCCTGCACAGAAGTTACACAAACACTCACAAAGTGATGAGTGGCGCCAGAAGTTAAGGGCAAGCGATTCTGTTCTAGAGCTGGCTCCTTGCACACTCCACTGTAGCGTCTCCCGGAACCGGAAGACGCTACGTCACTGCGCAGGGAAAGAAGGCAGCATGTACGCAGCTGGCTGGCTGCCATCACTGTTTGATGCCAGTTCAGTGCTGTGAGCAATCGGAGTGCTCCAGTGTTTCCCATGTCATCACAAGGTGAAAAGAGGCGAATACATTCCCTTCACATATCGAATGCCTCTGTGTTATCTTTCCGTGACCATGACGAGGTGCTAGAAATAGACACCTTGAAAGGAGGCGCCATCTCTGGACTCATACTTTCACGGCTCTTGACCCTGCTTCCTTAGGCCTGTGCCAATATCGAGGCAGGAGCACCTGTGAGGGAAGGCCTATTCACCCCGTGGATTCCAAGAAGCAAAGAGAAAGCAAAGTTCTAGCAGCCCAAAGGGCGCAGCTCCAGTGACTTAGCGTCCCCATGAGGCTCCATCTTCTGAAGGTTCAACCACTTCTCAGTACGTCACAAGCTGGAGACCAAACCGTCCACACATGGGCCTCTCTGGTGCATTTAAAACCCTAACTATAGCAACTGCCTTTGCAAAAAAAAATAAAAAATAAAAAATAAAAAATAAATAAATAAATAAAAAAAAAAAACCGTTACCCGGTATCTTAGGCTCACAGGATAGCAAGATTGGAGTGGATTTGTAGATATTATTGAACAATTGAATATGGATCGCCATTGACTCTAGATGATTATAAGCCATCATGTGGGTCCTAGGAACCGAACCCCAGGTCCTCTGTAAGAGCCACAGAGTCATCATCCCTCCAGCCCAGTGATGCCCCATTTGATCACCAAGAAGACTGTTCAAAACTATCTTCAAAAGAGTGTGTGTGTGAGGCTGACCTGAAGCTCATCCCTTTGCTGTCCCTAATAAGCTACTAGTCTTCTGTCTGTAATTAAGCACTAAGAAAGATAATTTAGCAAAGCTCAAATTCTTCCAGAGTTATGAGGTCCCTGCACATCCGACCTCTAGCTAACCTTGAGCTCGAGCCTTGGCCTTCCTCCCCTCTCCCTCCCCTTCTGTGCAGAGCGTCTGTTCTCAAAAAGCAACACTGTTCTGTCCCCTCCACGCCTCTTCCCGCTGTTCTCTCAGCCTGGTACTCATTTCCTCAGCCTTAGGGGGAGGCCATGGCTTCCTGCAGAGAGTTCTCCCCAACCTCTTGAGAAGCAGGCATGGTCCCTCCTGAGTCCAGGTGACCCCGTGGTCACCAGCAGAGCAGGCGTCACTCTGCAGTGTTCATTGCTGGTTTTCTTTGTTTCCCCAATACTGTGCCACTTAGTCACGTGTCTCCCAGCCTAGTGGGTGCTCAGGAAACACTTGTCAAATCCAGCAGTGAGCTAATGAATAACAGAATAAAGTTAGATCCAGTTTTTCCTTCCCGTTAAACCACGGATGTGGAAATACAGCTCTTGTTTCTTTAAAGTTGTATTTGCTTGAAGATAATAATTGAGCCGTCTTCGCCATATAAACAGCTGCAATTGAACCTTAGGTCACTCAGTGTGAGATAAACCCTAAAATCATCCACTAATTTGCCCCAGTGCAAGAAGCATCTTAATGTTAAGATTTTAATTATGTTATTACTTTTTAAAAATAAATATCAACTGCTGTATTTGTGTTGGGTATTTATGGAGAGCCAGTTATTTATTCTAGAGGCGGTTAGCTTAGAGGTCCTAGAACACTGCCTGTACTAAGGCAGAGATTAGGAAAGGAAGGCCTACCACCGTCCCTGCTGCCCAGGACCTTAGCTCGACGAGAACACCATCACAGTGAGCAGTTAATGAGCGTGTGCAGAGCACTTTAAGATAACAGCTTCCTGGCAGTCTTTAGTCAGCCTTGAGAAGTGGAAGAAATACAACCTCATTTGAGACAAACCCCCTTCGAAAATGAAAGGCCAAAGGCCCAGTGGCCAAATACATGAGTTTTTAGGGCAGACAGCCTGTAGGAGGGACCGACCCGTCTTGGCCCTGACAGGCCATCTTGTGGTGTCACTGTGGGAGAACTCATTTCCTGAGAGACGGACCATTCTCCCTGTGCAGTTTTGCTGGAGAAGAGCCCACCTAGGAAAAGGAGATGCTGCCTGCATCCACAGGTTTCCCACCTTCTTAGGACAGCTGAAAAACTCGCAATGACAACTTAGTAAAGCTGACGAGTGTCTGCTTCTTGTCCAGTATTTGCTTTACATCGAATCAAAGAGTTCTAGGTCCACATTAAGATGGGGAAATTAGCATTATAGAGACCATTAGTTTGTTTACCCAGCATAAAATTCTGTCCTCTGTAAACGGGAATATCAAATAGCATAAAAAGCTGAGTGATTTACATTTTCTTTTTGATTAGAGGATTGCATCCACTGTCCTCAGCAAGGAAAAAAATCTCTCCCATTTAGCTTCTGAAGATCAAAGAGGCCATTAAATATGCCATATTACCAGCTTTCTTTATTTTTTTTTTCTTTTTCAGTTAAGACTAGAGGACTACTTTACAAATTGAGACTCTCACAGGCAGAAGGGAAGACTTTATTTGGGGTCTAGTTTACTTCCTTCAGACAGGACCACGTGCTTAACCTTAATTACGAGAGACTGTCCTAGAACTTGAGGCTCAGGCTGACCTGTCCTCTGAGGTTTGTGTGTGTGGCCCTAACAGCCAAGATACTCTAAGTCAGTCTGAGTCTAAGCCTGGTGGATTTTTCTGGTGGAACATTTGGTAAAAATCTATGGATAAGAGGAAGGGAAAACCACAATTCCTGGAAAGAAAGATGAGTCTGTGTAGACATTCAATTGAGATAAAAACCTGGCTTTCCTCCTGAGGTGAGAAATTCAAGGCGATACTAGGTACTAGAGAGAAATATCCAAATGTGCATATAACCAGCTAAGGTGTAAATTGTTGAGTTTCTCTTTCTTTCTTTCTTCCTTCCTTCCTTCTTTCCTTCCTTCTTTCCTTCCTTCCTTCCTTCCTTCCTTCCTTTCTTTCTTTTTTTCCTCCCTCCAGCCCCCTCTATTCTTCCATTTTTTTTTTTGAGACAGAGTTTCACATATCCCAGCTTGACCTTCAATCCGCCTTTTAGCCAAGGATGACCTTGAACTTCTGATTCTCCCACCGCCTCCATCTTTCAGTGCTGGGACTACCAGGGTGCTCCGCCATGCCTAATGCTGGGGACAGACTGAACTACGAGCCCACTGGCCAGTGTGAACTGTACTTCTATCATCATCGTGATGCCTGAGTAATAGGACTCTGAACCGTAGAGACATGCTGCCTTAAAGCTGCAGATGTTTCATTTGCGTCTGCTTTCCTGCTTTTAGAATTTAGGTGGTGTCCATTTTTGCGACAGATTTCAATGAACTTGGGTAATTAGACCTCTTCTGTGGTTCTAATTTGAGTCTTAGAGGCACCTTCACCATCCAGATAGCAAAAGGGAAGTTAGAGGACAGAAACCGAGGTTGAGTTTGAATAAAAATGATAAAGTAAATAGAATGAGTGAGTTCATTTATTTATTATTTTGTGAACTTTATAATGGGCCTTTCTCAGTTGGGGACTGTCCCGTTAGGGCAAACCCCTGGGGGATTCACCATAATTAAGGACATCTTGTTTCTTTTCTGCTTTCGACAGCCAGCGTCACGTAGAAGACAAATATTCAGACCTCCGATATGATCCCAATTGGAAGGATAAGAGAGAGGAGGTGCAGCCATTGGCTATGGAAGCCTTGCCAGGGTCTGCGGACAGCTCTTCAGAAAGCCTGCCTCTGGCTCCGCTCTACCCTTCCAGGGAGCCATCAATGGGACTCTCCGCAGGGAACAGCAAAGGGAAGAGGAGTCCTCAGAGCGAAGCCTCCTTGCTTGGAAGCGAGTTCCTAAGCCCAAACTATGAGTGTGGCACCCATCGAAACGAGTCCCTTTCAGAACTAAGTGACAGTGACCAGGAGGAGAAGTCCAGCAACCTCTCCCGGTACCTAAAAAGCTCAAGTTCACACAACGAAGTTTTCCTGCCGGGATCACGGGGGCCCCGGAGAAGGAAGTCCAAACAATATTTTGTGGAAAAAAACAAGCTGACTTTGGGATTACCGACTCCTAAACCAGACTCTTACCTTCAACTTCATAATAAAAGAAGAGGGGAGACCCGCCTTGAACAGGTGCGTAGCCCCTGCTGAAGCATCCCTTCTAAGTTGCCCCAGGATTTGCGTTTGTTTGAAATGGCAGGATGTCTCTTCCTTCTGGGCAAGGATGCCATAGTAACCACTTGCCTTGGTAAAGTAATTGCTTCCATACTAGTGCATGCTGCCCCTCCCCGCTGCTGCCACTTCCTCTGCTGCTGCCTTCTCCTTCCTCCTGCCTCCTGTTCTTTTCCTTCCTCTTTTCTTCTCTCTCTCTCTGTGTGGTGTATGGGTGTAGGTGTACATATGTATGTATGTGGTTCTGGGTGAGGTTAGCTTGTGGAAATTACTTCTTCTACCTTGTGGATCCCAAGGACCCACCTCAGGTCACCAGGGTTGGTGGTAAGTGTCTTTACCAGCTGTACCACCTTGTTAGCCCCGCTGCTCCTTGTAGAATGAATGTTATAACTCTTTAAGTTCTTAAGAGCAAAATAAAACACGCCTGCGGTTTACAGTGCTATAAATGCTACAATTCAAAGATATATATAATGTCTCCATTCAAAGACCCATGAAATTCTTTTAAATGTTTACTTAAAACATTGTTTTGCCTGTGTGTATGACTGTACCCCATGTATGTGTCTTGGAATTTGTTTCTTCTGTGTGTTCCAGTGGATGAAGTGCAGGGATGAGCGTTTAATTCCCTGTGTTGTTTGTCTTTGGCCTCACCTGCCAAAGGGCCCCAGCAGGTTGGAAGTCACACAACACATTCACCCCCAGAACCAGAGCTTGAGGAGAAAGTGACTCTACACCCAGGTTCTGTGTAGGTACTGGGTGCTGGGGACTAGGTGCTGAGCCAGAGTTGGGTGGGGATTGTTGTGAAGCCGAGCACATCGTGGGAGATTTTTCTTTTTAACTATTCAAATGACTCTGTATCTTGCCAGTTCCCAATTTTAATCACGGCACTGTCCCTCAGTGTCCTGTATAAGAATGATATACATTCCTGTCTTATACAGTCCTGTATAAGAATGATAATGGCTTAGACCCTCCATGTGTAAAATTAGAAAAATAATGAGTGCCCTCTTTTCCTCATCTGATCATTTTGAGGATAAGTTAGTTCCCAAATGATGTGCCTGTTGGAAGCCAGGCACAGTGGTGCACGCATGTAGACTCATCATTCAGGACACTGAGGCTGGAGGATGACAAGTATAAGGCTTGCCTGGACTATCTAGCAAGACCTTGTCTGAAACACACAGAAACACCTTCACATACCACACAAGAAGAAGAGAAAGAAATACTGTTTATTACAAGTAAATGCAATAAGGACCCTTTCAGCTCATCTCCTGAATATTGCTCCATATACTATAGACTCAAGTAAAGAGCTTGGCTGATCAGCAATCAACACTCCTGTGGAGAACAGCTTGGAATTCATGACCTACGAGGGTGGAGCTCCTTCCAAGGATTAGGAGTATGTGACGTCTTTGCCTTTGTAACTAACAATAAAACACAGCAATGGGTACAGAACATTCAACTGAATTATCAAAACAGCCAAACTTAATTAGTTCTCAACATATGTTTACAGTTTTAAATGCAAACATGCTTTCTGTTTCAGAAAACAAGTGAAATTTCTAATTTCACTTGATTGCTTACTTAAAAATATAAATGAATTCAAGAGTTAAAACGACTTTTGCTGGTCATCTCTCCCAGCCTAGGATGATACTTTTCACTGTTGTATTGCTTTCCATTTTGAGTCAGTGTCTTGCTGAAGGAGAACACAAGTAAATTAATCCCTCACTAACTCAGAATTAAGTATAATAAGGGGTTCTTTATTTAAGGGGAACTCACAGATCACAGTCCTCTGCCAAAATGGGGAACAGGAGCCAAATCCAGCTATCCAGGTGAGAGAAGAGAGAGAACTGACATCCAAGCACTCCCTTTTTGGTACAACCTGGTCCAGCCTCTCAGAGGCCATTGGCTGCAGAGGTTCCCCATAACCTCCCCCTTTCGTCTAAATAAGAGAGTTCCAAACCCAGTACAAAACTATATACAATAAGAACAGATATCAAGTATAAAATTAGAATTACAACCAGCATAAACAATGTTAAGCAAGAAACACATGTTTCAATGATTATTTTATCCTAAGAAATCTAAGTCTTGTATTAGAAATGGCGTAAGTCATAAGAGGAAAGTAACTACGACTCTCTAACCTTCAACCCATCGAAGACCTGAGAAGGGAGATAATGTTACTTGAGTCGGCAGGAAGTACAACCAAGCAGCTTCCAAATGTCCAGTAAATGACAGAGAAAACTGTTCAAATATGTCAAATGTTTTATTAAAGTTAAACCATCAAAAACACCAGGAAAAAACATAAGCAGTTCCTCTTAAGACTCAGAAATATTTAAAAATCTAGATATCCTAGAGATTAATAATTTGGTTTTGTGAATATTTAAAAACATCTATCAGAGGAAACTATAAACAACATTAAATATGAGAACCAAACTAGGAAAAAATATCCCTAATTTATACCACAGGTAAAACTCTATCTCTAGCACATGTAGAGATTCTCCTCTGTGTCAATAATAGGGAGACAAAAGTCACTGCAGAAACATACAAAAAGGCTAGGATAGGCAAGTCCCAGAGAAGTTAACAGAGGTGGCTACTGAGCACGTGTGGACAGACTCAGGATCTGTCACTGTAAGAGAGGAGCAAATTAATATGACATTGAAATGCATTGCCACCTATAACCTGTTGATGAAAATGTACAGTAATGCCAGGAAGAGAAGAAATCGGCATAACCAGAATAAAGGGCAGTTTGCATCTGTGTAAAACACAATTACACTCCCGGAGAAGCTAGAGCATAATGCCTAAGAGCAGCCACGTTGCTGAGCTCTGCCCCATGCTGGCTGTGCGACCTTGTGCAGGCTATTAAACCTCTTTGTGCCTCCTGTACAAAGGAGATAATAACAGTCTTTTCCTCGTAGGGTTGTTGAGAATATCAAATGAGCAGGCTGCTGTACAGCACGGGCTTTGGTTAGAGCCTGAGTCACAGGCAGCGCAGCATACGATTTCGTAATTAATATTTTCGTTTGGCCCGGCATACTCCACTCCTAGGAATGTGTTCAAGATAGGTGTGTGCACTCTTGAAAACGCGACTGTGCAGGATGATTCATTCCAGCCTTGTTTGTGATATCAAAAGATCAGAAAGCACCCAAATAGCCGTCATTTTGGAGGGGCTAGGAAGGAAGTTACGGTAGGGCACACTGTGGCTGTTTCATTCTGAAACGCTTTGGTCAACTTAACAGGATTCAGCAGGAAGAGAAAATCAAAAAATAAAACATGCAGATATAGTTTTTTTAAAAAAAAAAAAAAGAGGAGGAATAAAAATACATGTCAAGTTGTAATCTCTGCACATGGGGAAGTTGAGGCAGGAAGACTATAGATGTTAAGTCTAGACTGGGCTATATAGTAAGACACTGGAACACCACATTGATGACTAATTCAAAGGAGTGGGGGGCGATTGGCATAGCTTTCCACCTTGTGCTATTTTATGCCTGTGGGTTTTTTTTTTCTCTCAACATTTGTTTTGAGGCAGAATCTCACAACCTAGCCCTCGCTGACCTGGAACTCATAGAGATCCACCTGTCTCTGCCTCTGGAGTACTGGAATAGACACCACCGCACCCGGCTGTGTTTATTGGTTTTGAAACATACTTATATATAAAATCATTATTATAACTTTTTAAAAACTAAATAAAAAATAGCAACAAATGTGAATCAGGGTAGGCTGGGGCTATGGACCAGTTGGTAAAGTGCTTGCTTAGCTTGCACACGACCCTGGCACCATATCGACCAAGCATGATCGCACACACGTGCTATCCATCCTAGCACATGGAAGGTGGAGGCAGACGAATCGAATTCAAGGTCGTCATTGGCTACATGGCATCCCATGTCAACCTGGGAAGCCTATGATCCTAAACTAAAAAAGGGGGGGAAGGGGAGGGTCATTTGCAGTATCAACTCTGTAATAATTCTGACTGAGGTCTCTCCTTGTAGTGGCATACAGTCACCTAAGTTGCTTTTTGGTTGTTGTTGCCTGCATGCAATTCAGAATGAAGCCATTGGCCTTGACTTCAGTATCCCCATAGAACTGGTGGTTACACATTACTGCGCACTTCTTTCCTTTCTTTTCTGGTGTTTTGACACGGGGTTTCTCTATCACGAAGCCCTGGCTGCTCTGGAACTCGCTCTGTAGACCAGGCTGGCCTCGAACTCAGAGATGCCCCTGCTGAGTGTTGGGATTAAAGGCGTCTGCACACACACTTTGAATAAGGCTTTAAGCACATGGGTGTGATGCCAGGAACTGATGTGAAAAGCAGCGCACACTAGAGGGCACTTGAGCATCACCGTCTGGCCGCCACTCTGCTGGTGACCACTGGCATTTGTTCGACTCATTAGCATCCGAGTCAAATTGATGACCTGCCACTAAAGGAAACTGTTCTGAAATGAGCTGCCCTTCTATCTTGATCGCAACAGACTCTGAAGACGAAGGGGAGGTCTAGCCTGAGTTCAGGAGAGCTGTAAGTGCCTTGTCAGTGTGATTTGGCCCTTTCCTACTAATATCTTGAAAAGAAATTACAGGCATTTCACAATTATAAATACAGAAGGGTTATTCCATTGTCTGCAGTCCTCAGAAACATGTAAAGGAACAAACAGAAGCCACTGCCCAGGTCTGTGGACCAGCAGTAGGCCAATCAGTCAGCAAGTCTTCCCTCAGCACAGCCATGCCCTAGGTTCTCCTCTCCGTACTAGGCAAGCAGTAGAAAATAAGACACAGAGAATGCCCGTCTGTCCAGGAGCCTGTTTTCCACCCATGTGTCACAGACAAGAAACAAGTGCTCTTGCACAGAAAGCTGAACAAGCTGTATTTACTGTAGAACCATCATTTGAGCCGACCCCTGAAGGGATGGATGAAGGACAAGCAGATCAGAGATCTGGAAAGAGTGTTGGCTCTCCTGCCTTGGCAGTAGCATCCTTGCATGAGGA